TTGATTGATTTGATTGGTTAATTATCACGGGAAATCACGGGTAGATCTACCAATCATACGAATGTCGTCCTATGAACTGTCTGCCCACATGACCAATCACATAAGTGATTGACTTTTAATTCGCTCTGGATTTACAACAGCACTTGTTTTCCTAGTATTCATGATACGCACGTGATAATCATAGCAAAAAAAGATGAAAAAATATCAAGATAATATTATCTAAATTGTCAAACAAAGCCACTTAACACTACCGATAATAATAACTCGGTTACTCCAGCAAAAGCTCGTTGGAAATTACTTTTTTCCATAATTTCATCCTATGATACGAATTCCTTAGTGATTCCCACAAAATTTTTTAAAAGAAACCATCAGGGATTTAACCTGTTTTCGAAAACAAAACTTGATCATTCTCCTTTAGATGATGTTAATAAAGTCGAAAATGTTACTTTGGAAAAGAAAACCTTGAAATTTGCCTTGATAAGCGTACTCCAAGGAATATCACGAATGGTATTCTTATTATTTGGATGATAATGATTGTATAAATATTAGGTAAAAATAATTCTAGTTATATGAAACCGTTTAAACCATTTAAACTATTTAAATAATTTAAATAATTTACATATTTAAATAATTTAAATAATTTAACCTATTTTAAAACTATCTGATTTTTAATAGAATAAAAATTCCTAATTATTACGATATTGTTACGGGGTGAATTGTATCCTTTTAATAGGATAAATACGAAAATGTATACTTTAGGTGATAAGGCAACTCGCCAGAGGCGTGACAATGGTGATTTAGCAATTATTTACGATATTATCAAGGTGATTTATTCAATGTTATATGTTAGGAATATCATAATCCCGTAGGATAAGATGTCCTTTACAAGAGAGAAATTACAGGGTTTTTATAACTTTCACTATCTTTACAATCTCAAGAGGCTTTGGGATAAATCAGATAAATCAGATCTTTCATCATGAAAGATCAAGGAAAGGATCACTATAACTAAGGGGCTTACAACGATAAGTACAAAATTGATTATAATAATGAAGGCTTTGCCTTTACAACATTTTCTATTAAACTATTTTTAGTTAATTCTTAATTCTTGTTTTCTTCTCTTTAGATCTTCATTCGTTCTTCTTGGAATTCTTCTTCGAATTTTGCGTAGGTTATCATTTCCGTTATTTAGCCGGTAAGCCTCATGTACTAGTCGATCTGGAATTCCGATGATCGATCTGCTTCAAGTCATGAGTTTGCTGCGCCGAATCGTCGATCTACTTTTTAGCCCGTGACAATATGAAGAACAGTCTTTATTCTAAATATTCTGGGTTTTTATCTACTGGTAACATTTGTGTTTGGCCCGCTGAAGTGGTTTTAGCCTACTATTCTTTAAATAATTTACATATTTTTAAGTATGAATTTTGTTTTATTGTTTAAATCTTGTATATTAACAAGTAATTTAATTTAATTTAATTTAATTTAATTAAGAAACAAAAATGTGTGTGAAATAGGTGGTGGTATGTGTGCATTAGC